GACAAAGCGCCAGCTGTGTTCTACATCTACAAGTAGTTGTTGAAAATCCTTTGCAGTCTCATCGAATTGAAGTGGAAATAATAGACACAAATGACAATTCTCCTCGTTTTCTTACTCAGGAGATTAACCTTAAAATACCCGAATCAGTTGCACTTGGAAGACGTTTTCCTTTGGAGAGCGCGGAGGACCCTGATGTCGGAAGCAATTCTTTGAAAACGTACTCTCTGAGCAAAAACGAATATTTTTCTCTCAAATTTAAAGAGACAAAAAATGGTAAAGCTGTCCCAGAATTAGTATTAGAGAAGCCATTAGACCGGGAAAAGAACGCTCTCCATCAGCTGCTGTTGACAGCATTAGATGGTGGAAACCCGGTCACATCGGGAACCTGCAAGATTATTATTACCGTAATTGATAATAACGACAATTTTCCAACATTCAGTGAAAGTGAATACAAAGCCTCTTTAAAGGAGAACAGCACGAAAGGGACATTTGTAATCAGACTTACAGCTACAGATGCGGACGATGGTCTAAATGGTGAAGTTAAATATTCTTTCGGGTCCCGCACTCCAGACTATGTATTGTCAACATTTGAAATCAATGACATAACAGGAGAAATCGTGTTAAAGGGAGCCTTAGATTATGAGAGCTCTACATCATACCTTATCGATGTAACTGCAAAGGACAAAGGCACTCCCGAAATGGAGGGTAACTGTCGTGTACAGTTGGATGTAGAGGACATAAATGATAATGCTCCAGACATTGTGCTTACTTCAAAACCCAGTCCTGTACGTGAGGACTCACCAAGTGGCACAGTAGTGGCTTTAATAAGTGCACGAGACCTTGACTCCGGTGATAATGGTAAAGTGACTCTACGGCTTCCCAAACGGTCTCCTTTCACTCTGAAACCATCATTTTCCAATAATTATGAATTGGTTACCAGTGGTGCTTTAGACAGAGAGAGTTTCTCAGAATATAATATTGAGATAACAGCCACTGATTCAGGCTCTCCTCCTCTGTCCAGTAAGAAAATTATACCTGTCAGCATATC